CGAAAACTGAAGAGATGAAATCATTACAATATAAATCTAAATATGTTCCATCATTACAGAGCTGAAAAGAAAAGAAAATCATTATAATGCTAATCTAAAAGTGTTTCATAATCGAATAACTGAATTTTTTTTTTCAAAAAACCAACATCCGGGTCAACAGAAGGTTGAAAAGTCTTTTACAACTTGATTAAAGAGATTTTTAGGCGTATGCTAGTTGATCTCTAAGGTGAAAAAGTATATATTTATAATATAAATACAATATACAATAATTAAAATGAATTGTAAAAATATAATTCTAAGGATGTTTCATGATCGAAGAGCTGAGAGCAAGCTTAAATAATTCATATCCATACATCCAGCATGAATGAAAAAAAAACTAAAAAAAAGTGTATTATGATTAAGTTTTCACTTGGTAAGCAATGAACAACAGAAATATCCGATAATTCATATAGTTTCTGCGGCTGATGGTTAATTTTAAATATGCTAACGGCACTACCTACGGCGACTACGATGGCGCCTACGACGACGACAACAACGAAGTTGTTACCTACCATTTGTCTAGGATATAACACCTTTGCCCGGCACCTCCAATTGAGCTTCATGTCTGCTATCTATCACTGTTTGCAAACATATCTAATGGCAATTACCTATGTTGTAATACTTCAATAAAGCAGACGAGCACTTTTGCAAGCCGTGAACTCGCTGATTCACGGCAACGTCGGCCTCTGAAAAAAATGAAAACTCAGCTGCCTCATAAAAACTATGCTGGTTTTTATACTTTCATCACTGAGCCTGCTGGTTTTTATCTTTGAGCTTAAAATTAAGAATGTGTTATTAAAAAGTATTGATCATTTTTATGACATTATAATGCTTGACGGTAGATAAGAACAGTAACTGCATTTGCTGCTTGTGAATGTTTGGCTCCCGCTTGACAGTTCACACTGGCTCCCAAGTGACAATCACCTTGAGTGAGTCCGCAGTACTCAGATGTAGATTACTGTTTTGCACTGGAACATCCAGATCGGAGGGTTCATCTTTATTATATCAGAAATTAGGGCGTATCTCGACACTACCGGTTCTGCTTCGTCCAGTATCTGTAGCACAAGATGCGCTGAAGATAACGCATAGTTTGGTGGTTCAACGCATTAAAAGTAATTTAAAGAATGACACAAAGTATTTATGACAGGAAACTCCTGAATATTTGGAACTACCAATCATTTTGTGTTAGAAGTTGGTTTAAATTACTTAAGATAAAGCCTAATTATCGTAGCAACAGTTTCACATTCGTGCAATTTTTAATAGGGACATTTTGAAAAATGATAAAGTCTTAATTTTAACAGATTCGTCAGAGTTGCGACCTATCACAATCACGATCGCCAAACAGCTGATGGTAGTAACGCCTATCAATGTGCTCGTCGAAGCTCTCTCCATGACCATCCATCAATTTGACAAGACGAAAGAAGTAAAAAGCAACTGGTGAATGTCGTCTTCTGTTCTGATCCATCACCGATCTGGTCATTCCCGACAATCACGACACTCATCTGTGCTCGTTTTGAAGCAGTTGCTGCTTTGCTTGCTTATGTGAGTGTGTTGGTGAGTGAGCCCAACAGCTTCCGTTTCATGTTACCTGCTTTGTTTGTAACTCACACAGTCGCGCCTGCCGAGACGAACTTGGAATGCGTAGGAATTGCTTTCATTTTCTTCTGTTGTTTTGCTTTTTCTCATGATCGTACTGCAGAAGTCACTGTTTTCGTTGTGCTTTTCATCATCAGCAGCGAGTGTAACATTTTGCTTGTGAGCAGCGACCATTACTGGTGATAGTTGTTTGCCATGGCTCTAACTCTCACTGCGTGACAAAACGATCTGTCAGCGATAGTCGGTTGATGCGAAGACAAGTGTCACGTGAGTGTCATGATATTTTGCATCACTGAGATTCGTAGAGAACAATCCCATCAATTGGCGTATTAAGAGTTCAAATCCATCATCTCTGGATCAAAATCAAACCACTTTTATGCCACGACCGACTTTGGTTTTTGAAATTGAACCCCCAATGTTGCCTTAAAGTACTTGGTATGTTAGATTTAAACATATCTATATAGAGCTGGAATTAGGCGTAACAGATTTTGTAAACAATGACGTCTTTCGATCCATGCAAACCAAAATTACCGTCGAGTAGGGGAAGTCTTACCCTACCTGATGGTGATGTTGATTTGCGTGGGCGAACCTTGACTTTCAATACATCATCGAAAGAAGTTATTGTTTACAAAAGCTGTTACGCCCTAATTCCAGCTATATCTTTATATATGAACTGACATCCAATTGATGACATTGACAAATGTCCAAGATATACTCTTTTACAAATTTATGGTTGTCCTGAAAAGAACCGTTTTGTCGTGATGGTTGAGTAATGCTGAGCTATTAGGGTGTTAAACACAGACTAGGATGGTGAGCTGTATGTTTTTTTGGAAGGAGGGTGACGCGCTTGGCATAGAGGGCCCACAGCGACTCACGAAGAGCTACTGATTATGATCAATAGCGGTGCGGCTTCTTCCTGCTTCTATGGATGCTCATGTGGGCTGCAGCTCGCTGCTTGCAGGCAACCTTTCGTTGTGTACTTGAGAACAATGTTCAACGCTGATGCCAACGACCGGACACCACCACACACAATGATTGGAACTGAATCCGATCAGCGGTTGTGGGCAGCCTTTCGTTGTGTACTGGAGAACACCAGCACTCACCATGCGGTGATTGAATAAACACCGTTTGGTGAGACCGGATGGAATTCAACTTTGAAATCTGTGTTAGAGAAATCTCTTTTCGCACTCAATCGGTGATAATTTTAATCACCATAGCAACAGTTGCTTATTCGTTCAATTTTTAAAAGTTACATTTTGATAAATGATAAAGTCTTAATTTTAACAGATCTATAAAAATATTTGTAATCAATTAGTGATAAAATTTTTGAAATTGGTTCAGGGCAGCTGAGTTATTAACGTTCAAAATCTTTCATAATTTTGCTACATGTTCCATTTTTGATTTCCACAAAGTGTACCCCTATAAAGAAATCACAGACGTAGTCCTACGTCAAAAAATCTTAAAGTTTTTAAATATTCCAGAAGTTTTCATTTTAATTAGTTTTTTTTTAAAGAAATATGAAAATTCAAAATACACTTTATGATAAAATTTTGATTTCAATTTTTACACAAAATAACATAAAAAAAAATACCCATATTATACCCAGAATAAGTTTACATTTCTCAAAAAAAAACTTTGCCTCAGACGTCATTTCGACCACACGTGACGTTTCCGTGCTACATTTTTTTAAATTTCAAAGACGCACAGGCTGAACTTTTCCAACGTTGTGTTTACGGATGTTTGAATAAAAGACAGTGGTTTTGACCATCCTGCCATGGTGGAGGAAGATGAACTTTTGAATTTATTTCTGTTTATTTACAATAGAACAGTAGACATGATAACACTACGCTAGCGGCGGTTGTGTGTTGATATAAGGATTTGGGTAGGGTAGCTACACGTATTCCTGACGTTTTGCACAAACATATGCCATTTTGAAACAAATAGGGGAAATGGATGTAATGTTAGCCTAAGTCTCCCTAATTTAAGCCCATATATAAATTCAGCAATCGACTAAATTTTCAAAAGCGACCAAAAATATCCGTAAGTACCGTCCCAATAACGCGTTCATCTAGATAAAATTGATAAATAGCAGAATTTTAGCGATTTCCCCTTTGTAAAATTTCATGCAAATCGAAAATAAATTTATTTTTTTGCTGTTTGGCGTGGAACTGGCCAGCCTGTGAGTTACTTTTTACGTCCGTATCGGTTGTCGGATTAGATCTTAATCAAATTGAAGCCTAAAGTGAATCATGTGGCTGGACCACATCCAAAGAGAGCCACGCAATTCTGGAGGGATAGACCTAGCCCGAAGGGTACCCCTAATAGCTACGCCAACGGTGAAAGTCAGATATCACCACGCCATACCTTTTCATATTCATATCAATGTAAACCTGTCGTCAATCTTTTTGTGTTGAGCTTTAATTAGTCGTACACTCAAAGTCCACACACATAAACGAGAAAAACAAACTGGATCCGCCTCATGCGAGTTTTTAAGCCTCGCTGCACGCATGCATCTACAATCAACACTATAATACCTACCCACATCACGGTATAAGCAGGGAAATGAACTTGGACTTGAATAGAGTCAGCACGCGTTATTATTGATGGGCTTTGAGTTACGTTTTCATCATCATCATCCGGTCGGTTTGTGTGTTTATTTATTGGTCGCATGCATTTTTCCTCCTAATTGCATTGCCATTCACTGGCAACACTTTCAATTTCAACATGAATGGCCGGCTGAGGAACAGATAAGGCAATGAAGAAATTCCATCGTATATGGTGAGGTAGATTATTGTCACGAGACGAGGAATTGTGAGCATGTCATTTGACTGTTTCTTCGTTTAATTGCTCCGGAATCATTTGTCCGAAATGAACCGAATGTGAGCATGCAGACGATGATGATTTTTAATTACTTTCTAATTGAGCATTTAAATTTCAAAGAGACTGGTGGGAAACATGAAGCCATGCCAAGGAGCTTTACTTGGGTAGTAACGCATGACAGTTCCATTTAAAAAATAAATCAAGCAAAGTTATGCTTTTATGGGCAGATTACGTAGAAAAAAAACTTAATCTTTGTTGATGAAATAATCAATAACAATGAATGTGAGTGTTGAAATAATATTGCGGAAAAATTATCTTTTCCCTTTATTATCGTGATATTTAACCGTTGGCTAGTTCATCAAAAGCTTTTTGTTAGGAACTGAGCTATGCGCGGATACTTTTTTTTTCCCGTACCAAATTGAATGAGATGTTAATCGTTGCATAACTACACACACACACACAACCCCTACGCTTTGCAATCACGTTGATTGGAGATTACAAAACTTATGTTATTCTCTGTTTCTCTCTCTTCCACACTAATCCAGGTCCACTACCCGGGTACAAGGTGGTGACGGCTGTTCCGGTCATGGTGCTAGACGATGATGCACCCACAATCGCTGTGGCTGCGGCAGCGGTGTCAACCGCCAAGGAGAGTAAAAATGGTAAGTGAAAGGGTGCCTTTCCAATCGTGTTTTTGCGCGGGTGATTTTCAGTCTTCATGTTTCCTTAAAAAAAAAAAAACACTGTTATAAGAAAACCAACAGTAGATGAGATCATTTTTGATTACAGCATAATGCGGATTGCGTGTCGTGTGTCACTCTTCTTTTGGGGATAACTTTCGAATTAGCATCGTTTCATGTTTGGATTGGGATTATGAATCGAGCCTACGTTGACAGGTTTCACCGGAAAGAGCTTTTTAATGAAGTGATAATTAATTCAATACTGCACACCACATTTAAATCGCTGAAAATCAGCAACGGAAATGACGATAAATCCGCAAACTTTTCAGCAAAACAATGCCGCTGAATCTTCCAGTATATTTTTTTTTTTTGATTTGTCTTCCGCCGATTTTGTTTTCCGTGCTGAGCACCAATGCTACCGACGCCAGGAAGGCAGTTCCCACACCTGGACCCTACCTATCGACCAATCAACTCATGAACCGGGACCAACGGATTTACTTGATCAGAGATGTTATGCCTCAGAACATTCAGGCGGTGCCGACTGGGTTTGAAGCCAGGCCTGCTGGGGTGAGAGGCAATCACGCTTACCACTACACCACCGGCGCCGCTAGGATCTTCCTTCGAGTTTATGTTAAAATGACATCTGAAGCTGCTGCAGAAGAATAAAGGACAAGGTGGTCAGCGAACCGGGAAATAACAGGGATTGAAAAGTAGTTTGAAAAACCGGGACGGGAGAATCGGGAAAAATGTGCAAATTAGTGAAACAAAGCAAGTCTTTACTAAAAGAAAGACTTGCTCTTTTGCTACATAATCGCCATCAGTTCATGTAACTGGGGCCTTCCTTAGCTCAGTCGGTAAAAGCGCAGCTACAAATCAAGACCATGCTGGAGGTGGCTGGGTTCGATTCCCGGTCCAGTCTACGAATTTTTCGGGTTCTAAAATTTCTCGACTTCCCTAGGCATTGAGTATGATTATACTTGCCATACAATTATATTAATGCAAAAATGGTACAGTCATCTTAAGGCTCTCAATTAATAATTGTGGAAGTACATCTAGAACACTAAGTTGAGAGCACGCATTAATGTAAAATGCAATAAACATTAAGCTTGAAATGCGAAGAAGAAGAAGACATGTTACTAAACAATATTGAAAATTGATTTTTCGTTCCAACTCCAATCCAATGAGCCTTAAAGTATAATATTCAACATGCCAGACTTTGAAAAAAAAAAAATACGTGTAAAAACCAGAAATCAATGTGTTTTTTTCCGGGATTCGATTTTTTACGGATTTTGAAATACGGAATCGAAATAATCATGCAATTCTTAACACTCCGAACAAGATGCGTCCGGTAAAATGTTAAAAGTAAAAATTGCAATGTTTGAAAAATCATTGCTCAGCCATTTACTGACGAATTTCAAATCTATTGCCACCATTTTTTTTTTCAAAATCAATAAATTTAAAATCTATTGATAAACTGGTGAGCAAACATTTTTCAAACACTGCCACCCGTGGCATCATGTTCGGAGTGTTGATATGTAATAATCCAGGATTACCGCTCAAATTTATAATGGAAATCTTGTTAAAACTGATATTAAACTCTGTAATGTAATACCTTGGAATTGCTTTGAAACTCTTTTAAAAAAATTTCACGAAAACATTCTTAGAATTCTGTTTAAACTATCCTTAAAGTTCCAACCTTTGAAATTCATCTCGAAATGTTTCTTGAACTCTATTAAAAACACGCCTCTTCTGAAAATTCTTGGAATTCTGCTCAGAAGTCTCTTAGAATATTCTTGAAAAATTATTTATACTTTTCCTCGTTTTTTTTTTTTTTAAATCGATTGGTATTTTTCTCGGTATTCCCATGAATATCTTCCCTTGAATTATGTGTATAATTTTCATTGAATGCTCATAACAATTATATTAGGATTCTCAAATTAACCTTCTGTTCTTCTCAACTGTCCCATACAATTCTCAACAGATTTTCCTTCGAATTTTCCGTAAGTTCATTTTAGCGGCGCGGGTGGTATAATGGTAAGCGTGATTGCCTCTCACCCCAGCAGGCCTGGGTAAAATCCTAGTCTGAAATCCTTCGGAAGGGAAGTAAAGCCTAGTAAAGTTGGTCCCCGATTCATGAGTTGATTTGTCAATAGGTAGGGTCAAGGTGTGGGAGCTGCCTCTCTGGCGTCGGTAGCGTTGCTGCTCAGCACGGACAACTAGATCGACGGAAAACAAATCAAGGGGGAAAAAACAAAACATATGTTCATTTTAATTTCCCTAAAATTGGTGTCTTTAAATTGTTTGAAACCTTAAAATTCTTCCAAGCCCCAGAGCATTTAAAAAGGTTTGGGACCATTATAATATTTTTTGATTTGTCAACTCTAAGACCATGACAGTTTTTTTTTAAATCTATCATTTTGAGTATTTTTCTTAGACCCAAATTGTTGAACAAATAGTCTAGGCTTAGCTAAACTTTATCGCTTAAATTGCGATTTGAGAGGTGTTTAAGGGTTCAACATCTTTAATCGCGTTAATCTCCTAGATTAAGGCCTAAATTGCGATTTGAGAGATGATCAGGGATTCGAAATCTAAAATAGCGTTTATCTCCTTGATCAAGGCCGAAATTGTGACTTGAGGAGCGTTTGGGGGTTCAAAATCTTCAATCACGTTTATCTCCTTAATTAAGGCCCAAATCGCAATTTGAGTGGTTTTGAAATCTTTATTCGCATTTATCTCTTTAATTTAGACCTAAACATAGATTTTTTCATGGGAAGAGCAATTGATTTTAAGCTGATGACACATTAGGAGGCCGTCTTATTACATATCATTCAAATGAGATCTTTTCCAGTTATTTGTTTAAACATAATTCAATCTTTACCCTATATCGTCTCAGAAAATTAATTGAGAAGCTCGGCTAGCACTTTTGCTTGCTAAATAGAAAATGGTGTTGATCAGAAATCCATATCAAATCCTTCTCAAAAGCAGTTGTTGTCAATGTCTGTGAGGTTGCGACCGGTACCAACATCTAGTATCAGCAAGTTAAACGGGAACTTGAGCGTAATTGTTTTGCGATAAAAGGGGCTCGGTGGCTTAGTGGCAACCGATTTTGCTTATTGAGCACACACTTAGAAATAACTAATTTTACACGTGACGGAATCCGTCTTTGACATAAAAGATGAGACGTAAACAAACATGTCATGTAATATTGAGTGCTCCGAGACTGAAACATTCGTTGCTCGACGAAAAGTACGTTTGATTGAGCTATGTTTCGAGTCTGTTATGACTCAAATTTATGTCGAAATTGACGCTCATATATGTCACTCTCAGAGCACCTAATTTTATATGAACTTTTTTAAGTGTGCACAACATCATGGATTCAACCTCAAGCACCTTCTCATTATAGAGTTGTAGTGTAAATCGAATTTATTCTTTATGTAAGATAAAGCGTATAGAAATTCGGTTTGAGAAACGAGTATGAAAGACGTTTTCATTGGAAATGTACAGCAAACCCTTCTCAAGACTTATTTTTATCGTAGTAACAGCATGTTGAACAGGAACTTGGCCCCAATTGTTTTGTGAACTAAGAAAGTTGGTGGCCTTGTGGCGATCTTTGTTTACTTACTGAGCAGAAAATCATAGGATTGATCCCAACCTCCTTCACATTATAGAGTTATACTTTAAATCAGCTTTCTTCGTATCACACACTTAAAGTTTTTTTTTGCCGAGATGGGTACCACCGAGCAGCTTGGCGTTTTATTTTCCTAGATCTCAGTGAAAAACTTGCCGAGACTCAGTAAAACTTTTGTTTGTTAGCTGAGATCTCAGAAAAATTCCCGTTTGTTAGCTGAATCTCGGCAAGCTGAGATCCAGCAAAATAAAATATTGAGCAGCTCGGTGGTCCCCATGTTCGCAAAATAATCTAAGTGTGTATTATATCAAGCGTAATGAAATTCGGTTGGAAGGACAAGTAGGTAAAATAAGTAATATTTGAGTTTTAAGAAAAACATATTAATCGGAAATCTATATCAAATCCTTCTCAAGAGCAGTTGTTGTCGTCGTCAGTGAGGTCGCCGCCGGGATCGAAACAAGTTGAACGGAAACTTAATTGTAATTGTTTTGTGATATAAGGAGCTCGGCGGCCTAGTGGAGATCGATTTTGCTTACTGAGTAGAAGATCGTGGGTTCAAACCCAAGCTCCTTCGCGCTAGTTAGGACTTAAAAACAGAATATCGTTCGTTTACCAAAACGAATCCTGTTGAAAACCCAACCCATTTTATCCAATATCCCAGTGATTTATAGTCGAAGTGCAGAGGTGTTCTCAGCTTTCAATAAAGCGAGTATAACGTCAACATATTCCTACCCATTCCTTTCTTGACCAGTATTTGGATGTGGTCGGCGGTGGTATTGCCTAGTTTTAGATCACCAGTTTTTACACATTGAGGATTATTGCTAGTCCCAAGTAACGGCTATTGATTTTCTGTGTAATTACAACTCATCTGGCAAATGTAAGATCACTAAAATTAATATAAATGTAATCATTGTGTTCGACTCTAAACTATTAACAAAACTTGAGAATAATACAAATTTTGTTAAACCCCAAATAAAAAAAAATCAGTGCAGACTACGGAGTGTTAAAACGATTTTTTGCTCCAAGATTTTCAACAATTTGTTCAAGATATCAGCCCAAGATTTCTAAAATAATTTCTTTTTCACTCTTCACAATTCAGTCTAATGACTTATTCAGCTCGATAGCCAAGTGACCTTTAGTATATTTTGGGCCATGGAAACATAAGAGATGTCGAGCTTAAATATGTAATAGGTCTGTTTCCGTACTGTTTATTTTACTGTAGGTTACTGAAGCTTTCTGTAAGCAGTCAGATGGAAAATAATATGGCAAGTAGTAGTAGTAAAAAGTAATATGGTGCAGAAAAAACGGGAACATACTTTTGCTTTTTGCTGTATAGAATCTAACAGAAAAGGAA